AAAAGTAAATTTTACTCATTTAAATAAAACTTATTTCGTGGTCCATTAGATAAATTGATTAAGATGAAACGTTTCACGAACATAATGTATGCAATACCTAGAGGGCTGGATGATTAATGAAGTAGAACGGATCCGCCATCACAATAACAAATAGGTATTTACATATTACGTCGAGATCTAAGCTGTCGGTTTTTTCGGCGTCGGCGTTTTAGAAAATGAGTTCCGAGCGAAGTCGAGAGTGTTGTGTGTGGGGGGCGGGAGGTTGATTTATCGCGCGGAAAAATGAAAACACGCCCCACAGCGTCACAGGGGGTGATTAATGGGGGGCGCGACGGCAAAAATAGCTCCATGCATCAACATCATCCGATAATAATATTATTTTAAGCAATTCCGCTCATAAGCCGGTGATGAATGGGGGCCATTTTCAAAGTTGAGAAGTTAAAGTGTCTATAAGGGGGGCGGCGTCCTGGCGGCAGGCGTCCCAACGCTCAAGAAGACACGGCTGCGACGCTCCATCATTTTTACGAGTAGCTGCCTTCGAAATGGATGGCAGCGTCCCGCAGATAGCCAGAACGGATGTCGTACATTCGAGAAAATAAGCTTATTTTATCTCCGCCATAAACCGTAATTTATTGTTGGGCCTCGTCGACGAAGAGAAGAGGAGATCGGCATGCGGGAATTTGTTTTAGTTCATTTGTGCGAGGACGTCGTCGCCGCGATATTACCTCCGCCCCCAGGGCCATCTACCGGCATCGCACGCTGTCCTTAGCTTCCACTTTCCACCCTATACGACCGTCGAATATCCATATATCAGCGTGCCGTTTATGCTATACGATACTGCCTCTCAGAAATTGGCACTAGCGCGCATATAAAAGATAGTGATATGAAACATTATAGCTCTTGGGGTTTAAACCTGTCAAGTATATGCGCTCGTTTGCGAGATATGTGGACATGGCGATCCCGTTGGAACCGAGAACGACTTTTTGAGATGTTTCATCTTACCCCCACGCTTTTAACTACGCCCTTTTCCATAACGCAAACGTTATTTTAGAAATACACATGTTTTACTATTATTTCTTTACGTCAACACAAACAATTTCATTAACGCCGGTAAATATGGTGGTACAACAAAAGAAAACGGGTACGTCTATAAATCAGCGATTTCTACACGGCGTAGGACCGCGAGGAATGTTAATGGTCTCCGCACCGGAAAACGATCAATCGATAGAAAGGCCCGTAACTCTTATAGATTTACGGAAAATTGCATAGATGCCGATGATAAATGAGGCAACGTGCGCACTTTGAATCATTCATTTATTCCGGTTGAATATTACATGGCCTCATACGCCGCTCTCATGTACTCGTTCAACCGTACTACGGTTCTGGGCTTCCAGATAACGTTAATTGCTACCGAGTTAAGCAAGAGACGATAATTCATTTAAATGGGAATATTATTAATTACAAACGACTTATTTCCATTTTAGATATTGAAATTTTTGATTGTTAACCGTTATAACATCAATTTTTTCTGAGTTATGATATAAAGTAGATATGAGGTAAAATGAGAATAGAATTATAATTGAAATCCATTTTACCAGTGTTTATAATAAGCAGAAGAAAAATTGAACGAAAAAACATGAGTCTTACCAGTTTCGGCTAATCGCCATCTTCAAAGACCAGTTTTAAGTGATGTAAAGTAGATTAAGATATCAAATTTACATTATTATAAAAATTACTGAAGTTACAATATAAAATAAAAATAAAAATTAAGTTTCGAACACATTTACATTTTAAAAGTTGGGAAACGAAGAACTTAAAAGTTTGATGTGGACGATGTTTTCTTCATGTCGGTGGATGAGGATAACACTCATAGGATGATGTGGTGTCAAAAAATCTCTAACAATAGCTCATCGTTGCAAGTTAGCAATATATAAGAAGACTGTAGAACAGGTGATGAGTTTTAAATATTTTGGCGTTTATAGTACGAGCATCAAACAATGAAGGGAGCTTGGATATCACGTTACCTGAAGGACATAATATAGCAAAACAAGTATATGTTCCTAAAAAGCAAGATCCGCGTATTTAAGACCTATTATGACATACAAAACGAATGCTCAGAATAGCAGAGAAGATGACGTTAAGACCATTAACAGGAAAGAAAAAAGTGAGGATATCAGAGAGGAATGTGGAAGTCAAGTAGGACTATCAAGGACAATCAAAGATGAACTCGCAAGAGCAAAGTGACTCAGTGATCAATATTATATTTGTAATTAAAAAACAAAATAAGTATAAGAATTTTACAATAAACTTTAATTAAAATTGAAAATATGAATTAAATGAACTTGTCTCATTAGAAATATTATAGATAAAAAGAAATCGTGGAGTAGTAAGACAAGTTCTTAGAAGACTAATGAAGCAATATTTCAATGATCACAGCAGGAATATTACAAAACGTTTCTCTACATAGTTGAACCGTTAGAAACCTGCGGGTATAGTTTCCTTATAACTAGGAATGATGGATCTAAAGTGGTCAAAGCGAGAGCCGCCGTTGTCGAGTAGAAAAAGACATAACATTAACACAACAAGGCACGGGTTCGGCTCATTTGTAAAGATCAAAGGCGGTGGCGCCCGCTGAAAGACGAAGACGAAGAGGATAGAAGTAAGAAGCACGTGCGACTTGTCGATCTTGTATGGCGGCAATGTTCTTCGCTCCATTTGCATTGTATTGGCGGGATCTATTGTCGAACGGGAAATTGAGGAGGGCGATTTTTTCGACTACTATTATTTTTGCTGTTCATTGTTTACGAGCGGCGATAAATACTGCCGGAATAAATAAACAATGAGACTTTGAGTTGGACCCGCCGCCGCGCCGCCGTCTGGCGAAAATATTATTAACCCTTCTTGAAATTCGCACCGCTTCGCAAACAATGGATAATAAATTATAGTGCGAGGGCATTTTTGTGTCAGCTCGGCGACGGTACGTGACTTTAACTTCTTGACAGTGTCCGTGTAAGATGTATACAATAGAGTCCATAAAAAGAATTTTGATATTCCTCATAACATATATTTTAAATGATTTCCCGATGTACAGATGATTCCGCTTAATTGGGACACATCGGGGCTGAGGCATTTTGTCCCAATAAAGCGGCTGTCCCTGTCATAAATTAAAGTTTCGATTTCGTTCTTTGAAATATTTCCCAAATAAGCGGTTGACCGATTAATCGGTGTCCCAATTAAGCGGAATCAATTGTATTTTATGTTGTTATAAGCCTTAATAAGAGATTAAATTTTTTTAAATAAATAAGAGATGGTTTAGATAAGTGATGTAATAGTTGAAACAGGATGGCGTCGCGACGCTTGTTGGCAGGTAAAGGTAATTACCATCGTTGACAGTGACATAGTGTGCGGGCGGGCGTTGCATTTTTAAAGGTTTCCCGTCCGCGCGATGTACGGGTAATCTGCCTCGTCACCAGGACACGTTTTTCGCGCGTGAAATATTCACAACGACGCCGCGACGCTCGAACGGCGTAGCATGAATATTTCATCGACACTAAATGTTTAAACCAAAATCGGCTTATTATTGAAAGAGAGAAGTCGACGACGGTTTCCCTTGGTGGGCTGTTCTCGCACACGTTCAATAATATCGTGGCATCGTCTAAATTGTTAATTTAACTTCCGTGGGGAAAAATAAGGCCACGCGTGCGCTTCGTCGATTCGAACTGGTTGCGGGTCTCCACCGTAATAGAGGACGAGGGTAAATTGTTAATTCCGTCTGCGGAGCGAGTTATGTATTTATTGTGCGGGACCGGATTCTCGCCATAATTCACGGTCGCTGTCGGCGCGACATTAACTCCCATAAAGGAAACGGGCACGATAATGATCTCCGGCGCGAAACGGCGAAAGAGACATAATATATGCTCCGCTTGTCGCGGCATTAATAATGCCCTCGCGAGCATTATGCACCCGACGCACCACACCAACTCATTCTCCTTTGTAGACGGACCCCAACATCCGCACTACTATCCCACCGACACGATTCGGATGTGTCGTAAATTCTACCAGACCATACATTCTCTCTACACCTCAATTCTAGACTGTTGTCTTTGTAAACACAAAAATAATAACCCAACCCATCTATATCTACAGTGTGTTAATTAATTATCGTACCCGACGTCATCATTGCAAGTATGCAACACAATACGTGATTTGCGTATTGCAATACCAATACTGTGATGTTGGTTGCATACTTGACGACGTCGGGTACGCTACTTATTCAACACAGTGTATTATCAGCAATTTTAAGATACGATACGAACAGAAATTTTCATGTAATTTTATTCATAAAAAAGAAAATACTTTCCTCCATAAATTGCTTATGTTTCATCAAGATATCTTAAGAATTCGATTTTTGCCCCTTTGCTGAGGCATAAAACCAAATCCAACAATAAAAACCCAAGGTTATGTTTGTTTCAGTGAAGAAGTTTGTGGATTAGTTGGATGTGACAATGGACTTTTACATTATGAATCGTAAGTTTTAAATAAAGATTCATTTAAAATTTTATTTAATATTATATTTATAATATAATATTATATTTTATATTTATTTTAGTTATGGTGTACTCATAGTCCAAGGTAAACGAAAACAGGCAGAAGATCCAACAAAGCCATACCCACAATGTTGTAATTATCCTAATTAATTCTGGTCAATTAACGTTGTAATAAATTTGATAAAATATTTTTAAATTACGGAATATTTTTTTTATTTATACCTAAAAATGACTATTTATCTTCGTTAGGAGACAAAAAAAAAATCTTATCGCACTATTGTTGTGTTTAAACGTTTTTTAAATATTCCAATTTAAAACTGGTATAAAAATATTAGTGTTAATTTGTTACCATTACCACAAACTAGTTTTATATACACGTTTGGAGGTATTTATACAAGCGCGTTTATTATATTTACCATATTCAAAGTAAAAATGTCGCCGAAACTACTTCTTTGTTTCGTTCTTTTATGCGCTATAGAAATTTCGTTAGCCGATCTGGCTATAGAAGATGCTCCGGCAAGCCGTAAGTTAGTAGCCAAAGGTTTTAGCTGTTTTAAAGTAGCAATCGGTCCAATGAGAGATGGTCAGGTCTTTGATAATTATAGCCAAGAAATTTGCGGAACAGTTACATGTAATACTGGATATTTAACGTATGAAACGTAAGTATTTCTTTAAATGTTATTATTTTATTTTATCCTATTTTTTTGTATTGTAGCTGTTCTCGGTATGTTGATGAGGGTCAACCTATGAATCCAGAAGATCCATCAAAACCTTTTCCAGAATGTTGTAATTATCCATTCTAATTTATTGAAATTTACTGAATAAAGAAAACTTATTGCAACGAAAAATTTGTTTTGTGAGGTATAAGCGATCATGGGTCTGATTATGGCTACGTAGGCCCAGTGATCCATTCGTGGTTTAAGATCCCAGTTCACCATGACTATGTGGGAGTTCCAGTTTAATTTACTGTCTAGTATTACCCCTAGGTATTTGACTTTTGTTTTGAGGTTAATAGTTCTGCCTTCAATGAACGGTGCTCGCAATTGTAGCTTCCATCTCCGAGTGAAAAGGACTATTTCGATTTTGTTTGGATTAATGCTGAGTCTATTGCTTCTGCACCAAGTGCTAGTAAGTAGTAGGGCTTTCTGCATTAGTTAGGTTATGATTGTGTCATATTTACTCCGGATTGTGATCACTCAATTTTATGTTAAGGTGTTCATTAAATCATCAACTATCAGGCACCATAGGAGAGGTGAAAGCACTTCCCCTTAGGATGTCTCCCCCAGTCCAGATGACCTATTCAATGTAACTTGAAGAGAAGTTGATTGAAGATGATGATTACGGTTGTTTTTAATTTTGTTTTGACCTATTGCTGTATAAACAAACGGTAAATTTCTGTACCTCGCATGATTGGATTGGGTTCTTAACATTTTTTACCCCATTTATGTTTAATTAAACTATCTCGCCGCTATTCCAGTTAAAAGTGGAAGCAATTCCTTCGTGCTTCTCGCGCGTCTTCTCGCGGTAATTGATAAAAGTCCGTTTTGCGAGCCGCGAGCATCGAGATCGTTATCCAGTACCCGGTAATTACTCCATTAATCATCCTGTTAAGGACGACGCGGCGTATAGCAAGTGAGAGAGAGATCGGGACAGGATGGCTCCGGTCGGCCTCCGCCAGATTAATAGGTGCAATTAGTAAGCGTCTTCGAGTTTTTAAAAGCCGCCAGTCGGACGGTTGGGACGCCGCCGCCGTCGCCGCCATCTTCTTTTCGTCCTCCTTTTGCCGCCGCCGTGCCGTTAGCCTAACGTATTGCGCCGACGGCAAAAATTAAACGCGCACCATTAATCCGCCGCTAATGAAATAAGTTGATTTATGCGCGGAAACTGGGATCATCATAAACCATCCGTGAAACAGTTTTAGGGGGAAAATGGATTGGAGAAAAACCAATATTTCAAATTATTTTATATTATAAGTTTCAGTTTCTTGACTTCGAACTTGTTTCTGAAGAAAGTTGCAACATTGCATCCAAAACGTTAAACATTTTTTCAAAAAAGGCGCAACCCGAAAGTTTCCAGTTGTAGGTCTAGTGTTCTAGTGATAGTGCTAGTGTTAGTTTTAGTTTTATCGAAATTCTCATTTTAGAGAAATTTGGAGCAATTGAGTGGCGTTATTCGAACAAGCTTACGCACGTTGTAACACGTGTCGAAAACGAACACATCGATATATTTCCATTAGTGTAGCGCTTCGAAGTGCGCTAGAACACGCATTACCAGGCGGTAATGCTCCATGAGTCCGTTCCATAATTCATGGAAACCACGACGTCGTCGGCAGTTGATCCGTACGACAGCTGCACAGCCACACGCGCGGCATCCGAACACTATTTATATGTCCCTTGGGTGCTCGCTGCAGAGGTCATTTAATCAATCTGGATCGCTACCAAGAATACACACCGCGTTTGATACGCTAATGCGCGCGGTCGAGTTGTTTACTGGTTAATGGGTCGGGGAAAGAGACCCGACGCGATGCTACGTGGTGCTTGTAATTTATGGGGATTTACGCCCGTTTCCTTCTCAACTGCACTGCTTTGGTTTCCCCACAAAAAGAGAGAAAAACGGAAAGCTTAATCCAGGTTTAAGTGTTTTACGGCGCTTGAAACATAATTTACATTAATCTAATTTATAGTGTAGTAGTAATAGTAGTTCGAGCCATCTATAACCGCGACAGCTTCCGCTATAAATTCATTAAAATTTTTCAACTCGCAAGATAAATAGTTCATTTTCAAATTTGGTGTGAACCCAGGCAAAGATATTTCTCATTCCTTTCTCAAGTCCGCGCGCACCGTGGAAAATGCAATCTAATCTAATCTGCTTGAACAGATCGCTTCCACGTGTCCCCAGAATCTAACAGAAACTAGGAAAGCCGGTCCGGGAATTTATTATACTCCATAAATATACGACGGGCACGAACTAGGTTAATATGCGAGCTCGGGAAGATTTTTAACCCGAGACCTCGTCGTCGAGTGGAGCGGCACCGTTTTACAGGGCCGTATATCATTATTAACGGCCTTTAATGTTTACTCCTTTTGACCGATCCTTCATTAATGGGCCCGTTAATTACTGGTAACGATAAGGAATAATATATCGTCGTCAGACCGGCGACGTTTATTATCTATTGATTTATGTTAGCCGTTAAAATATGACGAGCTTGTTGAAATATAAACGAATATTAAAAACCAACTAACCGGAAAAGAAAAAAATATATTTCTTAGACACATGTTTAGACGCGAAGATTATAAATTGCAAATTTACTTAAATAACTCAACCAATCAAGATTTATAGTAAATCTAAAAGAGATACATAACACAACATCGAGTTTACGCCTGTGAATGCTTAACGAAACCCATTAACAATCCTCATCATGTATGGAGAACGTTCGTTGGTACATGCACACACACTCATGTTGCCATCTTTCGCCGTCAATTTACGAGGAGGAAGACGGCCCACCGTGGAACGTTCGCAATAATACATTTTCATTAAGGCGTAACTATTAAACAAAAGAACCATAAGGAGTTCTGCTACTCAACTGGCTCGTAAAGACGTCTTCGCATTTGTACGCGTCGCCTCAACGACAATGCAAGCCGCCAGGTGTTCCGCGAAGTACGTGGAACGAATGTCGTCCGAGTCCATTAGCGTCGGGTAATTGGTAATGAGCCGAATTAAAATTGGAGATCAACGTCGTTATTTCAACTCTTACCCTCCAGCTGAATTGGTAAAACGAAACGTTTCTCCAAGAAACCACACCATCTGTTCACTCAAACGAATTATTATAGTTACATATCTAAAAAGTTTTTGGTTTGGTCAAGTAAATCTTGGTCGGAATGAGATGGGTTGAGAGCTAATGAAGGTTTTTTTTTGCGTAAACGCGATGGGTGTATCCCGGTAACACTTGTGCGTGTCGGAACGGGTGGCGCACAAGAACGCGATGAATAAATAAAGCTATCTGGAAGGCCATTTATCATACCCATATCGGGAGCGTCGTCATAAATTTCCTCCCGTAGTCGATAAGAGGCGGCATAAAGCAAAATGGAGGCATGCGCCGCAATAACTTAACCCTCATAACAAGCCGGACCTGATCGGGCAAAAAGATAAACCTTCGCGAGCACCGTGAATAATTTTCGATGGCGATTAATCGAACCGGACGATCTTCGCATTTTCGCATACATTGGTATAAACCAGGCTTGCGATTTTCCGCGCGCCCGTGTTTCTACTAATGCAAACAGAAACGCGTCCGTGTACAACAGACCTTGTCAAATCCGCCCTTATCTATGCGTGCAGACCTAAACCAGCGAAGCGCAAACGTGTGAACTAAGCCGCAGGATTTAGTGCCTCCGCGGTACAGTTCACTTTCCAAATGCACTGTAAACAATACATCACGGCCAATATGCAGATGTCCGACAGAAGTCCCTCATAAATTAACTTGAACCCATTAGAGGGGCACTGAATGCGTGCGGTTGGTACCGCGTCGAGTCCCACGGACTCATTAATCATCCTAGTAGGTACCCTTCTCGGTCTCATCCCCCAGGCCGAGACGAATTAATTTAAAAATATTTTTTAATTAAGCCCGAGATGTATGGTCGACCATTTTTTATCATCAAACGAACGTTATAGTCCGGAGAATAGGGGAGAACTCCGGGAGTTATTGTAGGTTTGACCTATCAAACGCCTCACAGTTGTGATTTATGATTTAGGAATGACTTGTACAAATAATTATATTACTATTTATTATGATATATTATCCTCGATGTGTACTGTTTAACAATAATGGATAATATTAATTAATTGAGTTAATATACTCTAAAGTGTGTTTTTCCATAAAAAAACAAAAAAAACTCTTGCTATAGCAAGCGTTGGGTAATCCCTAATGGAGTGAATTCTTTTAGGCAAAGACTTTTATTGGGTAGTACTCGAGATGTTCAAAATATGCTGCAGATACTCTTTTTCTCACTCTTCGTCTTCCTCGGGGTCCATATACAGCAGTGATGCAAATCTATTGTTGGCAGGAATGGCAGGACAAGCTATTCCTATACCAAATATAGAATCTATACTTTTTAGCTACCCGATATCGTAACAAATTCAAACGTCGTATATTTATAGCAATTTTGTAATGAGCTTGGAGTTGTGCGAGTGTTACACTACATGTGCCAGAATCTTATGCAATTCAATTTCACATGGCTTTTCTTTTTAATTTTCTCTGATTTTCAGGAATGCAAGTAATTCCCAGACTTAATTCCAATGGAAATTTTTACGAGAGTAGGAAATTGCAATCACTTTGTTTGTTGGCCGAATCTTTGTTGATATGTTTTTGTTAATATGTCATGAACAGTCCATGTGATTATTACAACCGATCTAAGCCATGGCGATTTTATTCAGGTTTTGTTCCTTGTAGTTATTTGTAGATGGCAAACGAATTTTCGCAGAAGAAGCGATTACTTTGTGAACATAGAATCGTAATGAATACTAAACAAAATCGTTTTGGTGTCGCTACGTTTTGTATTTTTTCTTTGCGGTTGGAGATGACATGGATTTTAAGGAGTCGCCACGGTATTCTACTTCAATTTCTTTTGGCTTGGCGACGAGGCCGCAGAAAATAATCGCTCGGGAGTCGTGGTGAATGCCGATCGCGAACTGGCGCGCCTTAGCGGACATAAATCCAACGGCATAAAAGGCGTAATTTATTGAAATTGCCGCGGTAAAGTTTGAAATTTATTAAGAAGTGTTTTGGTCCGTGTCAGCGGCATTTTTCTTTGTAGTCCGCTTGTCCGGCGACGCGGAGGAAGGCATAACTCAA